ATGGAATCTAGAATAAAAATTGAAAGTTATGTGTCAAATCATGTGTGTTTCATCTAAATATCAAAACTTCACGGGGAATCCTAATCTATCCAGTTGGAAAAGTTGTTTTATGATCATACAATTCATGAAGCCAAGGTTACTTTTGATGACTGGCTTTGCTTGGTGATGATTAATTATGTGTGAGATCAAGTGTTAGTTGTCATTATGGATAGTCAATTTCAGACAATATATAATCCAATGAAAAAACTATATCATAATGTATTTTCCCTTTTGACCGTCTTTCAATTGAGAGCAAAAGGCGAACGCTTTCGGGAGGAAAGAAGGGCCCAATCTATCCATACTATTAACAGGCGTTTGAACTAAAAATTATAATTTTTGAAAAAAAAGTAGTGTTTTGAGTTAAGTTAAAAATGGTATTTGAAATTTAAAATTGTGTTTGGACATGTATTTCATTTTAATAAGTATTGCAGATTTGTGAGTAAATTTTTTTTTTTTTGAAAATCTCATTTTTGAAAGAAAAAAAACCGAAACAAATTATGGACAAATGGGTCCTTAGTTGGATGTGAATATGTGTTGCTTTAGGAAAAACTAACAGCACCATATTTTACTTGAAAATACCATAGTCCCTCATTTCAATTTTGTGATGTAATTTTACTCGTACGGAGCTTACATGTCAAGATATATCTGGACTACAAAAACATATTATTAAGGTAAAATGAGAATGTAAAATTAAATTATTAAAAAATATAAAAATATATAATTTTTTTGTAACAAACTAGTAAGGAATGTTCCACATAAATGAAATAGAGGAAATATATATTTTCATTAAAACAAAAAGTTTTCGAATAAAGATATTTTTTAACAAAAATTAATACGAATATTCTCCAAAGATAGTCCTTTCTTTATCTAAAAGTCCCATCTTATAAAAAAGATAAGTGCTTAGCGTGAGCCTTATTTGTAGTTTAGTAAATCTTAAATTGCCCTCTCTCTTTTTTTCAAGGTAGAGAAAAGGCCAGCCAATCTTTGAGATGAGGATGATGAGTTGGAACCCTATAATGCAAGGTCACAAGATTGTGATTTTAGTACTTTATGTTTCAGTGTGAATTGACCCTTCTTTAAAAGAAAAAAACTTTTTCCCAAAATCTTGGTTTCCAAACAAAAATAGAATCCAAATGGCGCATCATTTTTGCCTCGCGCCTGTCCCAGTCATCGCATTAACAACGTCATTGTTCAAGACCAAAATAAGCACAATCACAATCTCAGATTGGATATAGATCATTAATTACTCTACATTTTTCTATCTTGTTCAATACTATTATATTTTCCCTTGTCTGTGTCAATAGGGTAAAAAGAAAACGAATTAGGCAAGCTTTGACTCAGACAGTGTGAAACTTAGATCCTAACCATATTTAATTACGTTTATACTACTAAATAAACAATACCAGGAGAAACAAACGGCGCCCAACATTTGAATTTGTAAAAAACTCCACACTGAGCCTAACTGTATCCTCGATAGTTGGTTTAGGTAAGGTGGGAGAAAAGCAGCATTTATTTTTACAAATTAATACAAGTCAAGTTTGGTCGGCCTTGATTGCTTTTACAGTTTTGTGTACTTAGTCAAAGATTTAATGTATTTCAAATAATGAATTTTCTTACTAATAGATGACAAGGAATCAACTATATTTCTTTTCTTTGCCTATATTGAACCTTGATTTCCCATGATTTTCAACTATTCATTTGATTGAGAACATACCCTATAGTGCTCTCGCTATTCCTCTTTGCAAGTGTCACAACATAAGAAATTGATGCAAATGGTATACTTTAAATGATATAGTATGCAAAGCCATAATTCACTGAGACTGATTGAAAGCAGTACGTACGTAGTAATAGTAGACAGTTTGAAGTGAAAGCTCAATAATCTGAAAGCATTGCTTTTGTCCTTGTAGTTCAATTGAAATCTAGAGGACCACGAAAAAGAATGACAACAACTCAGATTTAGAGAACTAACATTTCAGAGGCAGAATCATGATTTAAGAGAACATTCCAATGTGAAAACAAAGTACCATAATGGAATGTCGGTAGGCGATGCATAAATCCATTTACTGAGTTTTGTATGTGTGGTCAAGTACGGCCTTAAAAGAAAAGGCCCAGGTTTGTGGGGCTGAGAGTTGGATTTTGTGGCCCATTTAAATATTTGCCCACTACTCCTATATTTGTACAAATCCTCTCTTCATTATGTTTTGTTTTACTTATATTTTTTGTCCTTGTGTATATTCACCTGGGAAATATTATACTCGTACATATATTATAGGAGTACTTAATAAAGTAAAGTAGTCGTCTTGAAAAAAAAAAAAGTGGCGGTACAAATAAGAAGAATATCTCTGTGAGCGAAATTATAAGATTGAGATTTTTGACAACCCATTTAAGCATTTTGTATAACCCTTTCAATTGTTGGAACTTCAATNAAAATCAATGTACAATTTATATATAATCATGTATAATTGATGTATAATCAATACCGGCTAGAAAAAGAAAATAATGAATTCAGTTGGCTATTTGTGTAAAATTCCATTGTCAATTTGAAATGTCTATGTTTACAAAGACCAGACAAAGATATGCTAAAATTCAATGTATTATTTCTAAAGTTCAAAATTTATGGTATGAACTCTGAGAAATCTTATACTCCATTACACTCCCAAACTCCCTTTATGCAGTCAACTAAAAACTACTCTCTGTCAAAAAAAATGAATTACAGAATTTGGACTACGGGTATTATTTCGGTTCCTTGATTTTCTGAAAATAATTTGACGTACTTTAGAAACTTAAAAAAAAAAAATCAGGTATAGACATAATTTTCAGAAAATAGTAAAATGTTTAAGAACTATTTGAGAAAAGCAACGTAAAAGAAAGATTTATTTGAAATCCAAATAGTGACACTTCAAATAAATTAAGATAGTGGGAGGATATATAATACATCTCAAATAATTAAGAAAATATTTATCCAGAATGTAGTGTAAAATGCCAATAAAGTTCGACCTAAATAAACGGCGACATACGATTGCGAATAGAAAAGATCAGTTTTCGGGTTAACATGAAGAACAAATGAGGAGTACTAATAATAGTTGAAAATAATAATAAGTAAGACAGTCATAAAATTTGTTGATAAACCCTTTACAGCTGCTGTCATTCAACAGTTAGGCCCAAAACATAACCAGATATATTATCCAACTGTACAAAGCAAAGTGTACGTACCTATAGCACACATTGCCAAGGCTCCCAATTTACACCTTTTTGGGTAGGTGCACAAACATCCATTCTTAGAGATAATATTTAAAGATTAGTCAGTACTTATTTTGTCCTAAAATGTTAAACTAGATATCGTAACTTCAGGACAATTCAAAAAATTTTTATCCAGAAAAAACTGAAAGTTAGAACACATTTGCTAATTCCTAATAGAAGTACTTTAGAGTGGCTACCTGACGTCATTTCCACCAACACCCTACCCATAAAAAGTTAAGGTAACGAGCAATCCTTTATTCTTATTCAGACTCAAAGTAGAAGACGAAAAAAAAGGTTCATTAAGATCTATGGATTATGAAATAGTTATATAGGCTAATTGAATCTCTTGACAATCACCTTTGCTTCTTGTAATTAATGTTAGGCTAATTCAGGCTATACATATAATATTTGTTACTTCAAAATGTTTAGTGTTCAACAGCTCGTGTTGTATCCCCCTAATTCTTTTTCATGTCTTCTCTATATCGTTTCCGCTAGTATGTTACCATGCCAGTCAAACTATTTCCCTAATTAACCATGGCCTAGTCAGTTATCACCATAAAATTAACAAACTAACTGCAATACATGTCCACTGCTACATAAGGACTTCTTTCTTTAAGGTCCGGTCCAGAAGAAGATATATTGTGCTTGATATCTAAAACCAATTCTGTTCTTGTAAAAAGAGGGCCTTAAATAAAGGAGGAGACGTATATTTCTCTTGGGGAACAATTTAATACAATGAAAAAACTATCAAACTAGAGGATCCAATTCAGTTTCAAGCTCATCTACCTTGCAAATACATTCTTCAAATGCTCAAAATTTTTTAGGGGGAATTCTCTCTTCCTTTTCAAAGGTTA